GCAGTAGGGTTTGAAGCGGTCGACCAGGATCTGCATCTTCTCCGTCTCCCCAAAGGACAGGTAGGGGATGATGCGCAGGAGCCCCTGCAGGACGCTGGGGTTTGAGCGGACGAAGGTGCTGTTGATCTGGTCCAGCAGCATCACCAGCTGGTCCTTGTCACCCGTGAGGAGGAGGTTGCCCTGCGAGGGGGAGAGAGCCAAGGGGGGGGGTGCCTTTCAGGGCTGAGCCGGACGCTTCCCACACCCCATCCTCCCTCTGGGGCCCTCCCTGTTTCTTTGGGACCGCTCTTCTCTTCTCTTCTCCCTCCTCAACACCGCCCCTTCGACATCCCTGCTCTTCCTCGCCCACACCCTTCCTCCTCCTCTCCTTTCTGCCTCGCTGCTGCCCCCCTGGCAGGCTTGCTTCTCGAACCCAGAGCAACCCTCCCGCTTCTGATTCCTCCCCATTGTGTTCATCTATCTCAGCGGTGGCCCTCCAAGGCAGGGTTGATATGATGGATGGGAAAAGGCTCCCACATCATTCTTTCGCTTTTTAGCGATCCCCAACGGAGCCAAGGGGAGGCCAATCACGGACGAGCGGGTCCTGCTGTCTTATTTCTTACCCTCCCCCCTTGGGGAGAGCCTTTGGGGGAACAGAAGCGGCCAAGACTGGGCTCCTCCTTCTTCGGCGGGAACCCCTCGACTCACCTTGTCCTCGCTCAGAGGCTCTGCGTTGGACTCGTCCAGGATGATCTCCATGATGCTCAGGACCTGCTCCGCCACGGCCGCCCCTCCGCTGTCCTTGCTCTCCTGTTCGGCCACCAAAGCCTGAGGGAAAGGCGGCATGGGTCAGAAACCGCCCGCGAGAGGAGACCCGGCCCAACCGACAAGGTCCGGCGGCCCCACCCCAGAGGGGGAAGGCCCAGCAGGGTGGAGTGAGTGGGGAGAAAAGTTCCTTTTTTCAGAGGGCCGCTTTGGACCCTGGTGTGTGTCCGTGTGTGTGTGTGTGTGTGAAGGGAGAAAAGTTCCTTTTTTCAGAGGGCTGCTTTGGACCCTGGTGTGTGTGTGTGTGGGATCCTCCAGGGAAAAGGGCTTCCCCCAAGCTCAAGAGTCTGGCCACGCCAGAGGGACCCAGAGCCCGCAGCGCCGCCCCCCCCCGCACATGTCATCCCCACCGTACCAGGTTGAGGGTCCCCAGCATGACGTTGAGGGTGTTCATCTCCAGCTTGACCAGCTGCTGCCGGTTGACCTTCACTTTGACGCAGTAGCTGAAGAGCTTCAGCAGCACCTGCAGGAGACCCAGAAGCTCAAAAGGGGGGGGGAGAACAAGGAGCCCACCCGAGCCACCCACAAAGCAGGCAGGGACCGGCCTCAAGCCCCCAACCGGGAACCCTGTCCTGGAGGAAGATCCTCGTCACCCTCATCCTTTGTAAACGGTGCCAGGGGTTCAAACCAGGGAGAACCCCCTCCCTCGGCCACCCCGTGGCCAAAGAGAGGAATGGCGGGCAATTCTAGCCGATGCATCGACAGGCCGGCCCACACCTTCCCAGCTGGCGGAGTGGTGGTGGTGGCAGGGGGCTGACCCGCAGGGGGGTGGGGTTGGGGGGGGGATCCTGGGAGGTGGAGTTGAAAAAAAAAGAGACGCCCCCCGGCCTGATCTGAGCCCAGTGGAGTTTTCTGAGGGACAGAACCGTCTTCTGTCTCCTACGAGGGATGTTCTCTCTTCCCCCCCACCACCACACACTCTCTCTCTCTCTAAGGCCTCCTTCCGTCCCCTTTTTTAAACTCCCCCTACAAGAAAGGAAGAAACTGGGAGGGGGCAGGACTAGTGGAAGCGGTGACCTGTGCACCCTCCACAGCTCCCAGGACTGAAGTGGAGGGGAGTCCCATGGGGGTGTTTCAGCTGCCCGTCAGCCGGGGTCTCCCCAGCAAACTCCCCACCTCCCCCCCTGCCCCCCCATTCTGCAGCTCTTCCGTCAACCAGAGTGCCAGCGAGGAGGGGGGGTGTCCTCTCACCGTGAGGAGATGCCGTCCTTGCTTGAAGTCCCGGATGCCCGTCAGGCGGTTCAGCATGCAGCCGAGGCCACCGCACTGGGCCATCACGCCCGCCATCTTGTAGACCTCCTCCTCGTCCTCCTCTTCGTCTGCGGAGAAGAAAGGGGCTGGCAGGGCCAAGGGGGTGGCATCCCCGAGGCTGGGGGGGGGGAGGGAGCCCCCGCCCACCTTCCCGCTCGTCCACCCGCAAGGGCCAGGGGAGGCTGAAGGCGCAGGTCGGCACCACGCTGCCAGAAACCAGTCGGTCTTCTCAGCCGAACATCTGAACCGTCCGGGAAGGCTTTTCATTTCTGGATGACCGCTCCCAGAGCCTGCTACAAGGAGGTTCTGGGAGTGGCGGTACCGAAAGGGAGGAGGAGGCGGCTCTCCCGACGCTGGTTGTGGAGATGCGAGCGGCCTACCTACCTGTGGTGGAGTCCAGTGACTCGATGAACTCCTCCGTGGCATCTCCCAGCAGCCCCCGCATGCGGTAGATGATCCTCATGGGCTCCCCCTGCGGGAGGGAAGCAGCCATTCTGACCACAGAGCCCCCACCCTCCTTGTCCTGCTAGCCTTTGGGGCTGATGGGAGTTGGGAGTCAAAGGCCACCCACAGAGCCCCCCAGTTGGACAAGGAAGGTCTATTGATGGAAGGGCACCCACTTTGGGCACAGGAAGGGACCAGGTTTAGGAGGGGGTGGAAGACGAGACCGCATGAGAGAGAGAGAGAGAACGGTCCCTGGACGGAGCAGACCCTGCGGAGGGAGTGCTAGCCCGCAGACATGCTCTCGGGGATCCCCCCTCTCCACAGCCTTCCTACCCCCCCCCACAAGCCTTTCACTTGCTCCATCTTCTCGCTCATTCCTTTTATCAGTCACCCTCATAGCCCTGCTTTTCCTCTGCTTGCCTCCAGAGAGCATCCTGGGTCCTTTTCTTCCCCCCACCCTTTAGCCTCACCACGACAGCCCTGCAAAGTAGGGCCAGGCTGGGTTTCTGAGCTCTGGGAGGACCACATGGCCTAGGATCGTGTTTTAGCCCCCACCCCACACAGGGCCCCCTACTTCTTTCTTATGAATGTCGTTTATTTCTTCCATTTGTCCCCCTCTACCTGCTGGCTCTTTCTCTTAAGAGCCTCCCCTTAACCTTGAAAGCCAAAGAAAAATAATGTCTGTGTGGGGGAGAGACAGAGAGAGAGGGAAAGAGAGGCAGCTTCTACCTTCTAAAAGAAATAGAGGGAATCAGAAGATAACGCAGGATTGGCATGTCAAGAAGGAAGGGAAAAAAACATGCATTTCCCACTGATGGGAAGGAGGCAGAGGGAGGGAGGGAGGAAGAATGACAGCTTAATAAGCTCTTAACTTAAAACTGGGTATTAGGAGGGTGGCAAAGCCGAGCACGGCCGTGTTATGAGTTTCAGGGTGGGGAGGGATCTCATGGAGGGCTAGAATCCTGAGCGGCATCCGTGTGTGTCTGTGTCCGTGTCCGTATGTGTGTGTATTTCTTGCTCTCCCTCTATGTTTCTCTGAACTTTCTATTTTAATACCATTTTAAGTCTGAATGCAGAGTAGCTAAGAATGGCGGGCGGAGGGGGGGGGACACACAAATCCTGGTTTTGGGAGAAGGAGCCCTTATTTGTTGAGGGAAAGGGAGCAGGCAGCTGAGAAGCTGTCAAGGCGTCGGCTGTTAAGCCCTAATGTAGAATAAGCAGCGCTTAACGTCAGGGAAGAGGCTCAAAAAGGCCCGGGGGAAACCCCTGGGGGAGCAGCTCTGCTCAAAGGCCGTGCCGCAGCCCCGCAACAAGCACCGTGGAGGGGTGTGCCGGTAAAGTGGCGGAGGAACAAAGCAGGGGGGAAGGAGAGCCAAGGGGGAACAAGCGCAGCCTCGGAGGTGAGCGTCTCCTGGCGCTTCGGCAGAGAGGAAGAGGAGGAGGAGGCCAGGGCCGACCCACGGTGGGCAGAGGAAAGCCGGCTTCCCGGCAGGTCACTTCCAAAAAGAGGGTGGGGCACCCAGGGAAGCCACATCCCTGGCACAACGAGCAGGTCCCTCCGGTCGGCACACCTCTCCGGGCAGGCTGGAGGGCCGTGGCATCTCGACATGGGGCGAGTCAAGGCCCGAGAGAGGAAGGAGGTCTGGTTAAAAGAAGCCACGGCGGGCCCACATTTTATCAGAAGTTATGAAGGACTATCGTTAAAAGAAGCCACGGCGCGCCCGGTCAAGAACGGAGCAGATGGGGCCGAAACGGACTCTGTGGGGCTCGCTCGGAGAAAAGGCAGAGACGGACATCGCGACCATCAACGTTCCAGCCCCACGCCGAGCCATGAGAACCTCCCAGCGGGGACTCGGGGCCAGCTGCCACCCCCGCTTCTCTCGGCTGACCTTACATTCCCAGGTTATTGCATGGATGACGTGTGAAGGCCGTCGGGGCCCCTCAAGCTCGACAGGGGAAAAGCGATAAAGAAACTTTTTAAACCCAGCCTCCCCCATAAGGAACAAAATAACTGACCTGCGGAACCATTGCTCGGCCCGGCCACACGAGGGACCTAAAGCAGAAGTGCCACCTCCCGACTGCGCCTGCCGTGACCTGTCACTCCCGCGCCCTGTTCCCTCGTCTTAAATCCCGAAACGGGGCCCCTCTCCGAGCACTGTCAGAGCATCAGCCGCCCAGGCCACTCGGAGGCATGCCTCCCAACGCCTTAATCTCCCGAGTGCTCCCCGACAAACCCGCGATTCTTTTGAACTCGGATGACAAGGCTGGGTTCTTCTAACATATTCATTCCTCCAGGCTTGAGAGGGGATAATACCCCCGGTTTGGCACTGATGCTCAAAGCAAAGACATCAAGTACTTAATTCCACCGCCGCCACCCCCCCCCTCCAAAAGGCTCCCTTTGCAGAATTTTTCCGTTCTCCACTCCTCTGCCTTCAAAAGTGTCCTGGGGTATTTTGCATTTCTGACGGCAAGCAGCCCCTGGCCCCCTTTTCTGTTCTAAACTGTGGGTTAACACAGAGCATGGAGGCCAGAAATCCTATCTGAGCTCTAACGTCACACTCTGCACATGAGCAGCTTTACAACCTCAAATAGGGCCTCGTTTGCCCACTAATTCTGATCCGTTCTGAGAACCTGGGATCTTATTGAGGTTCTGGAGCCCTCGGCTAAGATTTTGCCTTTAATCTGTATTTTAACTGTTGCCAGATGCCTTCAGCATTGATTTTAGAGGCCAGGTGCGTCATACGCTAAATAAAGGAGCGGATGAAGCTCCTGACTGGATCACAACCCCCGAGATCCCTTGAAAGGTTCAGTCAACCTTCTGAGCCCCCCCCCCAAGTGACTGATCTTTCAGACAAAGGTTAGTCCTCCGGCTGGACTTCGTTGCCACACGTATAGCAAAGATGGCACTCTCTTTGAAAAGCACTGGCCCAAGGCGACTACCCAGGCCGCAAAAGAAAGGGAACAGGGGGTGGTGGTGGAGAGGGAATGCAGGAAAAGGATCCGTGCACAAGGAGGTAAGCAGGCAACGGGTAAAAGCCTTGAGGCAATTCACAGGTCGTCTGCTTTGGGATCCTAAGTCACTCTCACTCAAAGGTGGGAGAATGAAACCCGTCTGCCATGAAGCGCAGGACGCCTGCCAGGGGGAGAGGAACCCCGGAGGAAGCACAGAGCCCATGAGCGAGCAAAGAGGGAAGAGGGGGGGAGACCCGGAGGCCTACCTCGTTGGTGGGACACCAAACCTTCTTGTAGACTTCGGCCACCGGGAGATCCAGGCTGATGATCTTGTTGTTCACCAAAAGCTGAAAGGGAAGGAATAAAAAAGAATTGCATGAAAAGGCGGCAGCGATGACAGCAAGGAAGTTAAGAGTTCTGTGGGGGTGGTGGTGGAGAGGAGGCCGGAAGTCTCTTTCCAAGCGCAGGCTCCGTTTTATGGCAGCACCCCCCCCGCGACGGAACAGGACTCATCCCAGTTGCCAAGGGGAAGCCCCTGAGATGGCGGGGAGCAGCAGCAGCTCGCCTCTCTGGGCAGCCCTCCACCCTGGAGGCGGCAGATCCTGGGCTCCTGGTGGGTCCCCAGGACGGAACGTGAAGGCGGCCCTGCTCTGCTCTACGTCCGCTTGCTAACACGCTTGGGGCCAAGAGGGCTCTTCTGGGCTCGGGAAAGCTGTTGCTGCTCCCTTGGACCGTGACCCTCAAAGTTCCCCCTTGCTTTGGAGCACCGTAGCCCATCTCAAAGCAGCCAACCGACGGACCAGGAGAAGACCCTGGGAGCAGGAAGGGGCTCTATACCGGCCCTGCTCATGGACACTCGCCGGTCCTTGAGACACTGGCCCCCTCTGCTTTCTGGAATCGGGCTTGTGCAGCAGGAAAAAGCTGTTCTTCCCCCTCCCCCACTGGGGATCCAGCCACCTCAGGCATTGCTGCTTCTCCGTCTGCCCGCCCGCCTCCTCCGGGGTCCCCCTCACCTCCATGCCGCTGTCGTCCTCCAGCAGGGCCACCAAGTCACAGTCCTGGCAGATCTTGTTCTTGATGTCCCTCATCAGGGGGCCGATGCCCGGCTCGTTGCTGCTGTAGGGGTTTCCGGGCATGCGCCCCTGGAGGAAGTCCTCCTGCTGGGGGTCCTTCTCCAGCGTCACAAAGAACTCGGTCACCTCATTCTCCTCCTGAGAGGCCGCAGGAGGGCAGGAAAGGATGGGAAAAGGCCGTCAGCAGCTTCCCAGCAAAATTCACGGGGCCCCTTGGGTGCCCCTGGCCACCAACTACCGGTCACTGGCACCGACTGATTAAAACCTCAGATTTGAAAAACTCCCTTATACTATTTTTTTTTAAAAAATTAGACTCTGGTCAGCCCTGAGCAGCTGAAAGCCCTCCGGACTGTGTCCGCTGGAAATCAGGGGCTGGGAGGGGAGCAATAAAAGAGACACGCCGCGAAGGGTCTCCTCTCCCAAGGCGTTCCCCAAGCTAAGGACAGCTTCTGCGCCGTTGACCCATTTTCCCGAACAGGGGGAGAGGGGTGTCCCCCTACCGGGTAGATGATGCTGCAAAGCCGCTCGAAAATGAAGACGGGGGTCCGGTAGTCGTCCAGGCTGTAGCGCTTGGCCGTTTCGATGCACACAGCCATGAAGGCCTTTGTTTCCGACTCCGTGCCTGCCGCAGAAGCGGGAGAAAACGGAGAGGAGAGAGTGAGTCCCCTGGGCCATTTATATTGAGCTACTCCTCCCACCGCACATTGCTTGGGTTCAAAAAAAAAGTTCACAAGCCTTCGCCTGGGCAAAAAAAGACGCCACCCCTTGTTCTTCTACAGGCCCTGCTTTCCTGTTCAGGATAGAGAAGAGCAAAGGGTCTCCTCGAGGCAGCTTCTGAGGCCCCCGATCTAGAGCCTCACAAGATGAAGCCCTTCTCCCCCCCCCACAGCAATAAAAGGGGTGCTGCTGATCCTGGAAGCACCCCAGGAGGCGACTGGCCTTTTCAAAAGGCCGACGTTTCCCACACCCCGCTGAGCACCAAAGAACGACAGGTGACCCACCTGTAGTTGCACTTCTTCGAGGGGATCTCTGGGATTCACACCCTGGGTGATCCGTGCCTGTGTGGAGCCTCATCGGAAGGGGACGCTTGGCGCCAAGGTACTTACACAAGGAGGGAGGGGCTTAGTCTAATGGGTTTATTGCTACTGCAGAAGCTCTAGAATCTTCCGATGAGGCTCCGCGCAGGTGTGATTCACAGAGGCCATAAGAAGAACTGCTTGTTTCGCAAATCTGGAAGAAGAGTGCCCAGCCGCCTCCAGTTTTGCTTTCCAACTACAGGTGGGGACGGGGGTCCCCAGAAGACACTGTGACCCTCCCCTTCCGAATGCATTTCCCCACCCTCCTGTACCCCATCACAAGGGATCAGACAACCGGGCCCACCCTTCACAGGCCTTGCCTGGAAGATGGACATGGGACCACCTTGAGGGGCCACCTCCCCTCAGAGCCCCCCCGCGTCTCACTCCTGGAGTTGGCCAAGCTCCCCACCCCACCCTGTCCCAAACCTGTGGTCATGTCCTCCAGCATCTCCAGCAGCATGTCTTGGGTCTCGTCGATGAGCTTCGTCCGCTGGACCACCAGCTTCCGCAGGCAGAGGTAGCCATTCAGCACCGTCCCCACCAGCCGGCTCTTGAAGTGGCGCTTGATCGACTCGACCTCCACGAAGGAGGAGAGGAGGCCTGGGGGAGGGAGGAGGGAGGGGGCCGTGGGGGTCAATGTCGGCATCTCAAAATAACACACCACCGCCATCACCGCACATGGGGCAGGGAAAAACCCAAGGCAAAGCAGGCCGAGGGCGGCTTTTCAGCTGCTCGGGGGTCAACGTACCAGTGATACTCTTCAAGGCATAGCCCTGCTGGAGGTCGGTGCTGAGGGTGGCTTCTTCCAGGGCCAGCAGGCGGGCAATCTCCTGAGAAACAGAAGCACCAACCCAGACATTAGGGTGCAAAAATTGACAGCGAGGAAAACCAGCACCATGGCGCAGACCAAAGCCATGTTTCGAGAGGGTTTGGACCGACCCATTGAGTTCCCTTCTTTTTAAAGTCCACAACCTGCAGGGCCAAAGGGGGGTTCCGTACCTTTGTGATGAGGTTGCCGACGTAAGGCAGGACCCCTCTTGCGGCGAGGTAGACCTTCCAGCGGGCAGGCTTGATGAGCTTCTGGTAGAGCGCCAGGTACTCGGCCGCGCACTCGCCGGCCACGCTCAGCTCGTCCAAGTAACTGACGGAGAGGCAGAGAGAACAGCCAGCCCGTCAGAAACCTCCAGGATTCACGGAGGTTTTCCAAATGGGGAGGTTTTCCTCAACAGGGCTCCTTCACACACACACACACACCCCGGAAGCTGAGTTACCTGGTCAGGAGATCGAGGACCTGCTGCTTACGGCTGGGGATGGCGGCCAGGGCTTCCACGATGGTGCAGGCAGCCTGGCGGGCAGCCTGGGTGGCAGGAGTGAACAACACCTGCACGGGGAGAGGGCACACCAGGAAGGTGAACGAGAGAGAGAGAGAGAGAAAGCCCCACTCACACACCCGGAACAAAAGGGTACGGCCAGCTTCCACCTTCCCAGGAGGCCTTTTCTCCTCCTGACATTTTGAACCCTCCATTCACAAGCTTTTTTTTGGGGAGGGGGGAACCACAACGGCTGGATGCCTCAGGGGGCTGTCGCCGGTTTGAGGATGTCAGAAGCATCTGTGCAGGACAAGGATGTGTCCAAACAACGGCTCAGGTCAAACTATCTGGCCGTCCGGGACTTCTCCTGCCCAAGGCTGGCTGTGGCCACCACCACCTCTCCTGCCCCAGAGCAGACGTGGCCGGGGGGGGACGGGGACAGGCAGGGGGACGGATGCTTTACCTGCCGCAGCCAATTGTTGTGGCCCAGCTTGAGGTCCAAGGGGCAGGTCCGCTTCCCCTGCCGGCTCATGAACTGCTTCCACTTCCAGGTGTACTTCTCCGTCAGGTAGAGCTGGCGCAGCTCAGCCCGGCTGGGAGACTTCCCGTTGGCCTCAATGCCTGAGAAGGACAGAGGGGAACGGGAATGAATGGGGCGGGGACGGGCTCAGCGGGCGCCTCTTCTTCTTCTTCTAAAAGAGGAAGCGCTTCCTCCAGGCAAAAGGATACAAGTGGACTTAACATGGGTCCAAAACGTGGAAGCGGATGGAGCCCGGGACAAGCCCCTCTCACAGCGAGGAGCCCTTCTTCCTGAAACTGCCACGCACCCCTCGGGGACGGCCCCGGGACAGGCGGACTGTCCAAGGCAGGTCCATGTCTACCCCAAGGCGCCCCTGGGCCCTCCTGAATTCTCCCACGAGAATCCCCCCCCCTTGCAGGGCTCTGCTCTTCCCTGCCCCATCTTCCCGAGGAAGGCAGGAGGAGCAGAGGAGACACGGACCAGTCCATGCATCCGGGGGGGGGTGGACATCCAGCGCTCGATCCACAACACCACCGTGGCTCTCTGTGGAATCCTCAAAGGACACGAGGAGACACGGAAAAGCCAGCGGGACAGTTTACCCCACGAGGTGAAAACAACCCTCCCCCCCGATAAACCCCTTTTCTTCCTACCTCGGGCCGGCAGGCATTTCTTCCAGGCCTCGTACGAAGCTTTGGGGTCCCTCTTGAGCCACAGCTGGGCCTGGGCATGGATCTCATTGCTGTACGGCTTGACGGTGGTCAGGGAGTCGACGGGAATGTCCTGCAAAGCAACAAGCGGTTCCACAAGAGGCCCTCCCAAAAGAACTTGGAGCAGGCCACCACCACCATGCCCAGCCCCCCCCCAGCAGTAGGGACCGCCTCTGTGCGCCCATTGCTCAGCGGGCGCCCGGGGACCTGTTTTTCCCAGCCCGGGACTCCCTGGGGTACCAACCAGCAACAGCACATCCTTCCAAAAAGAGGAGAAAGGGGCCCGGACATCTCAAACACACAAACAGAGGGGACTGGGGAGGTGGATAAAGGGGGTGCACGGGTATCTTCTTTCAGAGGAAAACAGCCCCCTCTAGAGGTGTGACTCTCCTGTGTGGTTTTTTTGGCAGAGAAAACCCAAAGTTTAGGGCTGGGGGATGAAAATGTCTCTTCCTCCAAGAGGCTGCAGGGAAGGGCACACTTATAGTAAAAAACCCAAAAAACCTACAAAACCCAATAATCAGCACAGTCCCGTGCACCTCTAGGAGGCATAAACAGCTGCCTCAGGCTGGGCAAGGCTTGCACCCCCAGCTGGCCGAGGGTCCCCCTACGCAAAGATGGTCAAGCTCAGACAGGCTGCCCTTCTGGCTGTCAAGGAGCCGTTCCCCCTTCTCAGCCCTGGTCCTGCAAAACAATTCCTGCTTGTCTTCCTTCTGAGAACGAGGAGCCGCTTTGCTCTCCCATCAGGAAATGGTGCAAAGGACAGGAACGTCCCCCCCGCCCCCCGCCCCCAAAGCCCTTCCAGCTTGAAGCCCCTTCTTTTTCCAGGCTGGGAAGGAAATCCCAAGGAGTAAGTGGATGGCTGGATGGTGGGTGGGGAAATACCTTGTTTTTCTTGCTGGTGGGGGCCGGGGGCTTGATGAGCTTCTGGAGGATCCGGAGGCACATCAGGGTGATGTTCTCCACCACCACCGGCGTCTTGATGTTCACGGCCATCAGGAACAGCCCGAGAGCTAGAGACGGAGCAAGGAGAGGAGGGAGGGTGAGACGCCACCGAGAACCACGGTCGGAAAACAGCCGCAGGGCCCACCAAAGACAGCTGAGCGCCTGGGGCAGCATCTCTGCGCAAGGACATGAACTGCATGCACTTTGCGCTCTCCCAGAGGGCAAGCGTTGGCTGCTCCCGAGGGCCCGCCTTTCCCCCAGACAGCCAGTGGGCCGTTTCCCACCTCTTTTTCAGGACACAAGAGAGAGCAGGCGGGGACACACTTTTTTTTAAAAGTGCAGTCTCCGGCTATTAGTTCATGTTCTCAATTTTCTGTGGCATTTCCCATGTTCCAGCAAGCTGGACTTTGCTCAAAAAGGCAGAAAAACACAGCGGAGAGGCAGAGGGACGGGTGGGACTCACGAAACCCCCGACCACCACCACCACCGGGACTGCGACAGTGTGGGGCCTTGTCCTCCGAGGTGGGCAGGCGACCCCCAGCGGTGCCTCCCGAACTGGCTGCCCCCTCCAGCCAGCCAGCGTGGGCCCCGGCCATGGACCCACTCCTGTTTCCCGCCCAGGGTGAGACTCACCGCAGCGCAGCCGCAGCTCCCAGCAGCTGTCCTCCTTGGCGATGGAGTCAGTCAGCAGCAGCATCTCATACTGAAGGCTGCTGGCCTGCGCCCGGAGAAAGAGAGAAAAGCATTTGGGGGAAGGGAGTCGAGAGACAGGCCCCTCTGGAGAGACAGCTGCCACCCTTCCTGCCGCTGGGAAGTCTTTTCCTGTGTTTTTTAACTCATGTTGGCTTTTAAATCTCATGACAAGCTGCTTGGAATCCCAGTTTTTGGTGGGGGAGGGGGAGGGGATGTGTGACTCCAATAAATAAATCAGGTTTAAATCTCACGGCCAGTCACAACTGGAGGGAAACTCCTCTGAATCACGGAAGTGAGGCAAGCATGCAGCAACAGGGGCGGCCAGTCTAACTCTAACTGGGAGCAGCCACAAGGCTCGGACCCAAATAAACAAAGCTCAGGGCAAGGCAGAGAGAAAAAGGGAAAAAAACCCTCCTCCCCCTCCCGCCCTGCTCACCAGGTCTGGATTGGCCCAGTGTCCCTTCAGGGCCGCAGACACTTTGCCGATGATCAGGTCGTTCATCTGCTGGGTGGCTTCTGGGTTGTCTCTGGTTTCCAGACAGACCATGGAAAGAGGGGAAAGGACAGATACGAACGTAAACGCATGAAGACATATGACAGCGTCAGAAGCCCCTGCGGGGAGTGACTCCCCTGAGTCGGCAACCCAGGTCTCCTCTTGGTTCTGCCCACTTCACATAAAAGTTGCAATGCGTCTGTGTAGCCAGAACTTCACGACAAAACGCGTCCGCCTCCCTTGCCCAACAGAAGCGGCAGGAAAGTGCGTTTTTTTGGGGGGGGCAGCCAAGAGCCCCTCTGACCTGGTGAGGAGGCACATGAGCTGGCGGACCTCTTCCCGCATGGTGGCGGCCCCGTGGCGCAGGTTGTAGTCGAAGAGCTCCCGGATGAGGCCCTGGGAGACCAGGATGTGGCGGATGGCGGCGTTGGTGGCCAGGGCCCGGAGCAGGGTGATGCAGTGCTCGGTGACGGCCGAGGCGCAGCCGTAGCACTTGGTGGAGGAGGTGTGGCCGCAGCCCAGGACGGAGAGGGCCCGGTACTGGCTGGCTGTGAAGGTGGGCTGCACGGCCGAGCGCGAGGACTTGCTGGCCGCTTCCCTCTGCTGGAGGTCATACTCCAAGAGCTCCTTCCGGGAGGCAAAGACTTTCTGCGGATGACCAAAGGAAGGAAGGAAGCAGTGAAGGGACCAGGCACCCCTTCTGCCTTGGGTGGGCAGGATCCCCCCCAGAATTCAGACGTACACCCTTCCCAGCTGATTTCAGAAGCTCTGCAGAATCCGGCCTGGGTAGCACCTGGATGGGGGGCCCACCGGGGAATACCTGGAATCTCCAGGTAGGGCAAGGAAAGAAGGCTTTGTGAACGTCCGGGTGGCTGTTGCAGCCAGTCAGAGCTGGCGAGGAAGGACTAGGCAGGCCTGAGGAGGAGAAGCCTAACCCTCCAGCTCATTAGTGGAGAGAGGAATTGTAGGGGGCCTCGACACAGGACACAAACGAAGCTCTTTGCCTCAACTTGGACTTTGGGAGTGTGGGGGTTTTTTTGTTTTTTGTTTTGGCCAGGGCAGTACCAAACCAGAAAGACAGGCCAGCGGGAAGCACCGATATCCCCAGGGCCCGGCTCTTGCACCTTCACCCATCACGGGCAGCTACCCTTCCCCACCCCAATCCAGCCTGTGCTTGAACTCTTAGATTCCTCCCCCGGCATGAGGAGCCCAGAGGTGGTTACCTGGATGATCTTGGAGAGCTCGTCAAACGAATTCTTGCAGTCTCCGCAGTACTCCTGGGCCAGCTGCAGGATGTACCGGTTCACGCTGGCAGAAGCCGAGCTGATGCCTCCGCCGCCCCCCGAGTCGTCCTGAAACACCGCAGAGAGGAGAGTCTCAAGGGGGGGTAGCCTGAGAAAGGGGGCTTGGTGGGGGGCAGGATGGTGGGCAGAATGGATCCTCTCCCCCACCCCCCGCTTTGAAAAAAGGGTTTCTTTAACTTCAGAGAAAAACCAGGAGGCCTGCCTAGAGGAACAACCTGACAAGGACAAGTTTCAGCACAACTGATGCCAACGAGGGGAAAAAAGACAAGCAGCATTTTGGGGGAAAAGACCGCGACAGGCGTTAACGATAAAACTGAATGTTTAAATCCCAGCTTGCCCCTGCTAGAAGCAGTTTCGGGAAAGGTTCGTTTTCCAGACTATGAACTCCGGAATCCTTAAAAGCCAAGAGGGCATCCGGGAACAGCCCCGCCCCTCCCGGTACCTGCGGCTTTTCAGGCACGGCCTCGTTCACTTTGCACAGGAGATTCTCCAGCTGGGGCCGGTGACCCATCAGTTGGTGGTAGACCCGGTCGGCTTTGTCCAGGAGGGTGTTGATGTTGGTGACCGCCTTGAAAGCAAAGAGGAAACATGAAGGTGGGTGGGTGGGAGGGGGGGGGGAACCCCATGAATCAGAGAAGGCGGCTGCCCTATTTTCCTTCAAGCTGTTTCAGACAGAGGAGGAGAGAAACTGTTGGCTGACCGATGCCACAGGGGACTCTTTGAAACACTCTCCCGCACAGAAACAACGGCCTGTATCTATTTACACAGCCAGAAAGGACCTAGCCTATACTTTCTAAAAACTCACACCGGGGTAACTTGGGCATAGTAGAGCGGTGCTTCCCAACCTTGGGGGCCTGGGTGTCCTCGGACGCCAACTCCCAGAAGCCTTCACCGGGATTCGCAGGATGTGGCACTCCAAGAACATCTGGTTCCCACAAGGTTGGGAAGCACAGGTGCAGAAGATCCTAGAGCATCCCCTTAAGGAGAGCCTGGAAGAGAGATCCCATTGGGCTCCAGTTCCCAAATCCCTCAGGGGCATGGGGACTTTTTTTAAAAGCAGGGTTTAACTTTCCTGGTCTTTTAAAAAGAAAACATTCTCCGTAAAACACCCACGCACACACCGTGGGACTCTCGGAAGCCTGATGTGTGCAAAAGTGGGGAGAGCGGGCGGTGTGGGCAGGAAAGCTCCCCGTTGCAAACAGCGACCAGCATCTCCAGTCCGCCAGGAGAGAGAGAGAGCAGCCTCTGACCCTTGGGGGGGGAGCATCTGGGGGAAGGTCCCAGGACAGAGCTGCCCCCACCACCCCATCCGCCCTGGCCCCCTGACCTTCTTCCGGTCCTCTTCGTTCTCAATGGGATCCACCGCGCAGCAGGGTTTGGCGTACAGCATGAAGTCGAAGCGGGCGTACTTGCAGAAGCCGCAGGCATTGCAGAGGAAAGGGTCCTTCTCGTCATAGTTGATGGACCTGGGAAAGGAAAGCCAGGGCGGGGGTGGGTGGGGGGAACAGGATGGTGGGTGGCCCCGGCCTTGTCTCCCGGCACCCAAAACAAGCCCCAGGAGCAGCCAGCCAGAGCCAACGGCCAGAGAGACACACCCAGGGCTGGAGAATACTATCCTTTTCTGCATCTTAGGGATGACGGTGGGTTTTTTGCTGCTGCTGCTGCTGTTAAAATACTTGGGATTCTAAAGCCCCATGAATCGATGGCAAAAGATGCAAAGCCTAGCAAGACATCCCAACCCATCTTCTGTCTGCCCCAGTCCCAACCCACCCCCAAAACAAAACCAGCAGGTAAAGAGAGAAACTGGTGCCTGTCCTTTGGAGGAGAGGGGCTCTTTCATCCTCCCCCCCCGTCCTCAATTTCAGCACTAACAAAACAACCGCCCCTCCTTTTCGGGACAGAGTGAAGGGGTCCAGACTCTCCCCTTCCATCCACCCTCACCAGAACCCCGGCAGATTCTTGGGAGAAAAAACACACACACATGTGCACAATGCGGTGGGCACAGCATCAGGAGTAGGAAGGCCTTGGTTCAAGTCCCCACTGGGCCCTACGAGGCGCTGGGCTGGACCCTCGAGCTAGCCCCAGAGTCTCGGCCCGACTGCTTTTCCCAATGGCGGTGGCCAAAAAAGAACCCGGAGGATGGAGAGGGGAGGCAGGGGTGGCACATCACCCAACGCGCAGAGCCCCGAGCCCCTCGAGGGCCCCCACCTGCACTTGTGGCACTGGTAGACGTTCTCCCCGCAGTTCCCGCACACCCCGGGGTTGGCCGGGACGGAGGCGCTGCAGCGGGGGCACTGCAGGGTCTCCGTGGAGGCCTGGTAGTTCTCGTAGAAGTCGGCAAACTCGATCATCAGGTTGGAGGCCACGATGGGCAGGGGAAGGTCAATCTTCACCTCCGTCTGGCCCGGTGCCAGCTGGACCTTCTTCGCCTTGTGCCAACGGGCGGGCCTGGAAGAGGGAGGGGAGGGTAGGGGAGAGGCAGG